GAACGATTGGACAAAATTAGCTAAATAGTATAATAAGGTACCAATATTGCAAAGGTTCACTAAAACCTTAAATGGTGAACGATGATAAAGCTAGATTGGTGAAAAATAATAAACGAATACAACAATGACTAGGTACATATTATTATATTAGATTACTAGAGGATAGCTAAGTTCGCTGATTTCTTACCTAAGACGCAGAGATATATCTGTTTTAAATCAAGCCTTTTAACTTTTTTTGCATAGATATTTATAAAGTGCTATAATGTAACCTAAATATGACAATTTATTAGAAGAGCATAAATTATATTTTTATATAAAAAGATTTTACTTCTCAATACATTGAATAAAAAAGAAATTGATAACTTGTTTACCTATTATTAATTAAAGGAAATTATATAGAAATTAAAAAATATGCCTTACTTTGTTGTTTTAAATAAAACAACTAATGTTAGTGTATTGAAATTTGTTTGAATTTTACAAATTTTATGCTTGATTTCCAAAGTAAATATATTGATGGCTCAATCAAAAACCGCCACAAGTCAAAAAACAAAGCAATTACATTTTTGGTTCAATGGATGCAAAATATCATTACGGTTTTACTTTAAATACCACCACAAACAAAAATATCCTTAAAGATAAATCATTTAAAATGTAGCCACAAACTGTGTCTAAAACTGCCTCAATTCGAGTTATTTTCTTCAAAAACACCCAAATTTTTTACAACTATGCAACAACTCACTTTTATAATCGTAATCATTTTATTTAACAGCAAAATATCGAAGCTTTTAAATAAAATATAAAGAGTATGTCAAAAACAAAATAATGATAATAGAGACTTACAAAATTTCAAAATGAAATTTCTCGAAATAATAGTATTTTAGTTGTGGCAGTATTTGATTGAGCCATCGATATGTAGATTTTATAAAAAACAACTGGTGTTTTTTAGCAAGATATTCTATTATACTTGAGAGTATCATCTATGATTTCTTTCAACTTTTCTGCTGGGTTTTCACTTGAAATGATGGTTGCATTTCCAGGCAATCTAGCCTGTTGAAGAAAATGAACTGCTTGAATTCTGATATACCTGACATATCATGTACCTATAGATTCACTTTTTATAAAACTTCAGGTGTTATATTCTTCTTTACACTTCTGTAGTATTTACTTGTGCTTCTAAAATTCCTAGAATGTCGAAGGAAACCTAAAAAATAATATTTTTAAAATGTATTTTTAGTTCGATAAAGTATAATTACCTTTTATAAGTATTTGGTGTAAAATGTGGTTCTGGTAAAGGATCATGAGGCGCGAATTTCATAATTTTAGCATTAATATATTGAAGTAACTTACTTTTTATAATATTTTAACTGAAATTAAATATGGAAGAATACGTTTCATTTGCTATTTTTATTTATATTATAATAAAATGCAATATTTTGACTGATTTAACCTAACTTTTCATCATTTCCTTCCATAAAACCTAAAATAAAGTGATTCATGAAATTGTCAGTTCTTAACACACAAGGTCCTCGAGTTTGCAACGTTGCCATACTATATTGTTGATTTTTATCACTGATAATTTCCAAGTTTAAGATTTCTGTTTGAATGAGAAGAAAATAAGTTATAGGTGAAAATATAATGTGTTATGTGAGACTTTTCATTTCAATTTGAGCTGTGTCCAGGCCGTTGGAGTCTATGCCGGTAGGCGTAGCCAGGTATGGATTAAAATTTTTTGGTGGCGGCGAAGCCGCCACGCTAGCGGAAGTCGTCATTTCGTTTTGAGTAAAAGAAAATTTAAAAAAAGTTGTCTAGGTATTATAATACATGTTGAGTGATTTAATTAATTTCACTTTTTAATTTTGTATGTAGTTTTTTTGAGCTGCATTTTTAAAATTAATTTGGTTGATATATTAATTTTTGCATTTTATATACGATAATTACCGTACTTATCTTTTTAAACCAAACGAAAAATTTATGATTATAAATTTAAATAATCCTCAAACTTATAATTTTATTAACAACTTGGCAACGTTTGTTATTTTTAAGACAGAAACGTCAGAAATTGTCATTTAGAGCTTCCACCATGATTTAGAGTAATTGTTTTGTGATTATAACCTGTAAAATTGGGATTTTTAATTCAATTTTTTTCGAAAAATACTGCTTCATCCATAAATTTTTTTTCGAAAATTTACTATAGAAACTAGTTACTTTTGAGTGTTTAAAATTTTTTTGTGAATTTCGCACCTCAGGATCCTTTACCGGACCCTAAAATGTTGCCGGACATTCGGTTAAATGTTTATCTTCTGGTTTACAACGATTGATCTGCAATTCTTTGTATTTATTGTAGTTTTTTTTTATTTGGTGTCATCGGCATCGACTGCTAAAGATACTTAATGAATGAAATAATAAATTTACATCAGGCATTGTAATCTGAAACAAAGACAATGGTTTAGAAAATATTTATCTATTTTATAGAGGACCCTTACCAAATCTATTCGAATGTATAAATAATAATTATTTATAAAATAAATTCTGGATGTCGAAAAATAAACCATTAAAAAAGACAATTGACAAGAAAAACTGACAAGTGACAATTGACATAAAACTAAACGTTCTGAATTCAGATTTGTAATGTTTACGGTAGGTTAACTAGGTAAATAACAAATAGAAGTTTTGCGAGGTTTTGATTTCCCTCAACAACTTCTCATGAACGTTGCATTTACGTTGTATAGTAATGTTATTACGTTCCCTTAATGCAACATCGCCGAAAGGCTTGGCAACGTTATGTGCTAGCTGGGTACTTTAGAATGCGCGCGTAATGTAGACGATTACGTGTACTCGAACAAGTACTTGCCAAGTTCAGTCCAAGTCAAGTAACTCGGCAAGTAACGCGTAGTGAGTAGCCGGCTTTAGGATCGATTCCACCGTTGTGTTTATCTAAGTGTTAAACGGAGATTAAAATGACATTGTTAATGTAAAAATGTCACTTTAAACTTCGTTTAACACAACGCTGGAATCGGTCCTAACTGTTTTACTTAATATAACACCCCGAGATAATTACATTGAACTCACACACCACAAGTACACCCTTCTCTTCTCGTCGTGAGTCTAGATTGCTTCTTTTTTAAACAATGCCCGAGATTGCATAGTTTATGAGAGGAGATAGAAAATAAGAGCGAATTGCCAGGGTTGGTTGGAGTTACGTCATGAACTACCAATAGTACCAATCAGACATAAATGTGATGTTGGTTGCATAATGTTAGATGCGGTTTAGCAGCTAATTAGGCATTCCAACGACCTGTCCAAATGGCTACCAGTGGGTAATGACAGTTTAGATATGGCAACCCTGTTGTCATTAACAGGGTCAATGATACATATATAGTTATATAGATTGCTCAAAGCTGGTCGTTTACGAGCGGCCATATTGTCTGGTATATATTTATTAATTTGAATCGGTTTAGCAAAAATATGTTTTAAAACCAATTTTTAGCCTTTAGGTATTTCAAAAAAATAATTGCTTATATTTTTACTTTAAGGCATAAGCTTATGTTTATTTTGAAAAATATGGATGATCAATCTATGTAACTATCTATTTCATTGATCTTGTCAAATCACCAGGCCTACAGGGTTGCCATAATTTTGCCATATCATAACCCGTCAAAACCTACTGGATAGCTATTCACTAAGTCATGGGAGCGCTCCCATGGGAGTGCTCCCATATATTTTGCTCTCTTACTCTTAGGTGGGTATATCGTGCTTACTCACTTTTAGCCCAGGTACATGCGTAGTAAGGTCAGATTTTATACTATGGGAGGGAGAATTGCGGGCTTGCCAGATTAGGTCCGTATTTATCACAAAGCAAATTTGAATTACTAAGGGCTGATTCCACCGTTGAGTTAAACGGAGATTAAAATGACATTGTTAATATAAAAATGTAATTTTAAACTTCGTTTAACACAACGGTGGATCGGTCCTTAAATAGTAGATCAAAGTTATTCTGTCGACTTGGCAACGTTGGCATGGGAGTATGGGAGCATGGGAGTGTGGGAGTGCTCCCATGAGTTAGAGAATAGGTATCCTGGTAGCCATTCAGTTTGGAATGCCTAATTATATAATAAGGGGCGAGAGGAACAAATATTTTTAAAATCGGTGTCTAGCGGCGTAGGGGTAAGAGGAGTAAAATAATTGATGTATTCTGGCGGAGAATAATGTTAATTATTTTCCAACACAGGCTATTCCATTAAGAATGGGAGCAACTGAAGATTAACTAATTAGAAATAAGCCGATTAAACGAAACACCCGTAGGTAAAATATTACTCGTTTCCGAAAAACAGGGTTTTAAAGTTGAAAATCAAAAATTATGAATAGCTACAATTTTTTTATTACTCAGTTTAATTTTACTAAATTCGGCAAACGTTATTGGTTTAATAAAATACACCTATCAGCAAAAAAATAAGTTAAATAAGCTTTGCCAGTGGCGTACTTCATGGGCAAGTAACACCCTTTTCCCTTCTAGATTTTAGTCCACTGTCCAAAAACTTTTGATGTTTTTCAAATTTAGAAATTCTGAACACCGTGCATCCCGATACTATGTGCTCAATCGTTTCTGAGTGGTGACAACACATTTTGCACAAGTCGTTATCAAATCGAACTCCGTGGATATTTTGGAATATGATTTCTTGTCGCGATAACGTTATCTTAAATTGCCACCAAAAACCCTTAGTTTTACCAAACAAATATCCTTTTCTGAACCATTCAGTTGAATATTCAATTTTTGATCGCAGAAGTTGATTGGGATACTTTCCATGAAGGGGCTTCGACAGCCATTCACTTTTTCGTATGCTGAGATCAGGAAGTGCTGAACTTTCTTCTTTTAGTTTAACTGGAGAGTAGTTATCCACTTGAGTTACGACTCGATGAAGTGTAGAAGTTAGGGATTTATCTCGAAAGTATTTTTTTTTGTTTATTTATTTGCTTTTGATAAAATAACTTTATATCTATACCTTTATATTATTATTATTATTATTTTGTTGTTGTTGTTGTTGTTGTTATTATTAGAATGCGGTTCATAGATAGAAAGGTTAAATACCCTGCTGAGGTGGAGATCTGGGCGTCTTGTGCCCGCTACATCACAAGAAGACGTATCCATATGTTCATGTAAGTAAAGTAAATACAATTTTGAAGATGGAAATAAAAAACTATGTTTGGTTTAAGTATTTATTTTTATTCTAGAAGGTACGCCAAAAACTTGTTTGGGTTATTATTTTGATACAGCTTCACAAATAGACATGAGTGCTTTATTACAATTTTCGACATACCATGTTAATTCTTTTCCTTCTATCATACCAAGTGCTTTTAGACAATCCCCTTTCGTATTAAATGGTTCTCCATCATCCCAAAAGAAATCATCCATCGTTTTACCTGTGGATAACCAAACCCAATTGTCGGAACCTGATGGGATTTGTTTTCCTGATGTCCAAAAGAATTGACCAGCTGTATTACCAACTGTAAATAAATATTAATACTAATCAGTCATTGCATTTTATTTTAATTTATTGCTTGAATAATCATTTTTTAATCCTACCTAATCTAATACTTAGATTTTTCAACAGCGTAATTGTTATTTATAGTTTCTAGATTGCTATTCTAAGGTAATACCACAAGAAGTAAGATTTTTTGAGAATATTTTGTTTTTTTGCAAATTTGCATTATTTGTCAGGTATTTGGAAAGATTATTTAACAATATAAACAGAACTTTTATAAACAAAATTGGTTTCTTACTGTAAGATGAAGTCGAAATTGATATCGCTTATTTTTTACAATTTATATTTTAACACCCAAAACGATATTCATCAAATTTTCTTCATTTTGACAAACTTCACATTGACGTTTCTCTGAATTGAGTAAATACACTGCACTTTTTAATTTTTTTAGATACAGTTTGTTTTTGATTGGTGTCAGTTGAAATAAAAGTGGATTGTCACTGGTTGATGTATTACCCGAGAATAACGATCAAGGAGAAGCGACAGCTTGGTGTTTTTAGTGTACCGTTTTGTAACGCGCATGTGCGAAAATAAGTTGTGTACATTGATAAGGCAACGTAAGGATACGTCATATGTATTATTTTTGATATACAAAAGTGGGACCGGTAGGCGTGGCTTTTGCACTCACTAAAATGGCGGAAGAGCAGAACCGGATTTACAAGTTTTTATTGTACTATTTCTGGTTAAGCATCATTATTTGAATTATAAAAAAATGAATTTCCTTTTTATAGACATTGACTTAAAAGGTGGTGGAAGGCCGAGGTTATAAAAGAAGGGGGTTTAAAAGCTTAAATATGCCCGGTTTTCAGCCGAGAGGTGCTGAATAAAGTAAATGAAAGAAATAAAATATAACTGATTTAATTATCACTCAAGTGGCTATTAAGCGCTGGAGAATATATTATTTGCAAAATTGCAACTAATCAATGACCATAACTTGGGGCCGATTCCACCATTGGGTTTAACGAAGTTTAAAATGACATTTTTATATAAAATGTAATTTTAATCTTCAATTAATAGTTTAAACTTTAACACAATGGTGAAATTAACCCTAAAGCGTTGAAATCATTCACAGAAAAAATAAATAGTACATGTTTGGTTCACATAAGCGACAAAAGTAAACAGAGTTCGATTTATTGAATCAGTCGTCACACGTTTGCACTAGGGCACATAAATAGCCCAATCTTTAGTTTTTTGTTTTTTTATGAGCCCAATGCTTTCTGTCTTTAAATCGGAAAGTACAAGGTCGCAAATGTCAAGTAATCTAAAATCTAAACTTACTTTAATTAACTGGAGTGCGTTTAGAAACCACGCACGGCGCGTCTGGACCCTATTCTAATGTACGTGGTCAGGCGCGCCGTACGAGGTTTCTAAACGCACTCCAGCTTTCTCGAAATTAAGAACAAATGTTCATACACTAAAAGCTCGATAATCAGATACGAAACTTAATGCAAGGCTCGCGGAAAATGGCTAATAAGCAATCTCTGTGTAGGTAGATGCACTATTCAGGAAATCAAAATGTGGATTAATCTTACTTGGTCTTGGTCCTTTTGTAGATTTAGACTGAAAGGTGTATATCTTCATGCAAGACATTCAGTAAATCAGCGATGCCACAACCAGCGATGTGCTGGTGCACTTCTAACAAATGTAAAATATGAAGAGATCTTACTTGAGATCTATAGATCCAATGACGATATTATGGTAGTTGGTTTGAGCTGGGCTTCTCACCATCTGCAGAGATTATGGCTACTTATGTAAAGGCCTACCGTAGTAACACACAACATGCACCACAAGCATGCCGGTCCAATTTAATTGATCTGTGCACAATAATCATGCATGTATGATTGAAAGTCAGACAAAGAATGTAAAGATAAAGTTGAAGTCTCAATCATAGTTAAAGTCACAGATGAAGTTAAAGTTAACAGCAGAAGAGTTGAAATTGTAGGCTGGTGATAAAGGGAGGCCAACATCTAGGTAATAAATGTTTATCGAGTTAGGAAAAGTATCCACTGTAAGCGTTTTTCTTGACCACTAAGGTAAAAACCAGAATATTTCCTTATACACAATTTCTTCGCTAGGCAAAATAAGAAATAAATTTGTAAGAGTACTTCCCAAGTGTTTTTCCAAAAGTTCTAAGAACAAAATTGACGAAAATGGCCTAATCCAAGTTCAAATTCTAAAACTTGAACATTACAGATAAGTATCTTACTGTAAAACAAGTAAAACCCCTTTGTTGACTAAATGGTTGAATAATTCATTACCTACGTGAAGGTAGAATAGGGACTAAAGTTTAGCAGAAAAAGCCACTAGAAATGATGAACAAAACAGACTGGGGCATATGAACGACAAGCAAATATTGTAAATGCAAATAATGTGTACTGTGATTAAATAAAATTGTACAAGGAATAAAGTTTTAATATTTTCTTATTCATATATATGAGTGATATTTATTTTTAATACTAGACAAACGGTTATGGTTTTGTTGCTAGTCTCATTAAAAAAAAACTAAGTGAGTATTGATGTTAAATGTTTATTATTATAAGTACTTATATACAGTATGTTCATAATATGCACTATACAAACTTAAATATCATATTCCTGAATTCATTTCAAGCATAAAATGTCCTATGCACAAATATCCAATTCTACATGGTTACCAAGCTAGAAGAGTTTAAATATCAAAAGATATATTAACATAGTATGCCATGTGTTGGAATATGTCGAAACACAGCACTGAATGTTTGGTGCCTTGGAACTTGTCGGCATGGAAATTGTCACTGATACTCCATACAAGCAGCTCGCGAATATTCATGACAAAATCATTAAAGGTACACTATTTTGGCATATTATTAATTTAAATTTATCATAAAAAGGAAACGTAGTTGACAAGTGTAGTACTGAGTAGCCAACTGACGTTTATAATTATTGTTGATAAAATACCAAAAGTTTTGAAAATGTGATATTTAAGTTTGTATAGTGCGTCTTGCAACATTTTTTTTAATAAATGCCCCAAGTAAAGAAACATTTACGATTATTACAATCTAATCATTAAAATCAATTAGAAATTTTATTCTAACTTATCAAAGAATGAAAAACTTCACAAATTGATATTCTACTATCTAGTATACCTTAGAGTCTAAATCACTTAACTGCACTACACTATGCTTTAACATCACTGAACTCAAAAGGCTTGGTCTCTTGAGTCTTCTTATTAGATTTGGCATTGTTGAGGAGCTGGATAAACTCGAGGTTTCCATGCTCGAACAGTTGTTGTTGTTGGTGACTACTGGCAAATTTTTGTATTGTATTTTCAACAGTCTCCACTTTAAGGTCCCTATGAAGATCAGTATTGTGGCAGTACCAGGGTGCAGCATTGACGTTGTTCCTTAATGCTTTATTCTGGAACCGTTGAATAACTTTGATGTCACTTTTCTGGCACATCCCCAAAGTTGGCGAATCGCTTCATTTTCACCAATTCCTTTAAACGCACTAATCTGAAACAAATTATAGGTAATTAAGAAGGTATATTAATATTGTTTTAAATTAACTATAATAAAACAAACAATACTCATGCATACACAAAACATGAAGCTCTACTTTTCAATCAGCTGTAGAACTAATAAATAAAATTGGTGGAAGGACAGCAAATGTAGGTTATATTAATATAGAAATAAGAATATAAAATGCCTATAAATTAAATTTGATAAACGAAATGGCGTACGATTAATGTACTTCTCAAGAAAATGCTTGAAACATATACTGCTGAATTTAGAAGGTTACCAATTATACTTATTGACAAACTGTATCCACGCGCTACGTATTATAGGATTTTTTGGAAATCTATAAATATTATTTCGTATGAAAAAGTATTATTCCAATATAGGTAGGCCCAACAGTTGATAGATAATTTTTTTTGCATTTTTAAAAGCATACTTTTACAAATTTTATACAAACCTGTCATAATACTGTCCTGTATAATATTTATAATTTTGATACTAACCTATGAAACGTTATTCCAATCGATTTTTCACAAAAACGTCTATCGCTAGAGCAGGAACGTATAACACAGCAAGGCATTATATACTTTATAAGTTTGTAACACTCAAAATTTGCTCAAACACAAATTAAATTCAAATTTAATTACACAAATGACACTAAAAATATAACCTATAAAATTTGACAATTTGCACTCACAGTAATGGCGGACCGGTCCCACTTTTCGTTTACGCATGTCGTATCCCTAGGTTGCCAGATCAATGGTTGTGTATCACTCAAAATGATGTTATCTGTCAAAGTCAGTCCAAGTTGTGTTTAGTACGTGAGCAATGTTAAGTGATATTTTTTGGTGTTTGTTTTGTGTATTAATAAGATGAAGATTTTTACACACTTAGGTATTCTAATGCAGATATAAAATGTGCCAAAAAGTTACTAGGAAACTAAGAATTTTATCACATTCATAAATATTAAGTATAATGATTTAATCATTTTTGACATTTTATTTTTCATATGTAGGCATTGTATTTTGTGAAATATATGTTTTCTTCTTTTAAATAAATTTAATAAACAATGAACTGGAGATTTTGTTTATTTTATTTTGAAATTATATTTAAAAAAATATAATAAATCCGCGTGTTTCAATTAGGATTGGTCAAAATGGGCGAAATCCCTTTATTATGGCTAAATTTTAAGGTACAATTATGTCAATATAAAGATGTTTTTTTTCCATTCATATTTAAATTTATTGAATGAATCATACTGGAGTTGATTTTGGAAATATTGGTGCATACTTAAATAAGTACTATTTCAAAAAATTCGTCTATGCCCAGACAACACACATAGTCCAATGTACGTCCACTTTAAATCTATTTGAGGGTCAGGACGTTCATATCCGGGCATCCAGTGTACGTCCGTTTATGATAATTAAATGGACAGCTGAATATTGATACCCAGAGAACGTCTGTTTTTGGACTTAATTTTAAGTTTAGTAGTATTTTGACGTCCAGTGGACGTCCATCTCAGGTCATTATTTATTAAGCCTACCAGATAATACTAATTTATAATATATACTTCTTTTTTTAATATAACTGGTCATTAAAAATTGACAAATTAAATCTATTGCATTTCATTCTATCAGCGGAAGTTTGAAATCTTATTCAATTATAACTGTATCTAGTAAAAAGTTTTCAAGTGGTTCCTTGGTCGAGCTCGTGTAGCGATTGAAAGGGTAAAACGATAATGGATGTTTCGTGAGTTCGATGCCTGCTCAGGTCAAGTAATAATAAACAAATTATTAATAATATAAAATAGTGTGTGGTAAGTTGCGGTTCTGTAAAAAAAGTGGGGATGTGGTCTCAATGGAAATATAATCCTGGACGTTTTTTGAATGCTCAGTATTCGACGTAAAAATATATTCCAGAATTGAACGTCCTCTGAATGGTCAAAAGTGTGCCATTTGTATACTTCACTGGACGTCTATTGGATGTCGGAAGTCCAGAAAAAACTCATTCTTGGACGTCTAGACATCCAAAATTGTATATCGAATGGACGTCCAATGGACATATTTGTATTGTCTGGGTGATAGCCAGGCCAGGTATTTAATTCTAATTACATAAACCTTAAATGACATCTGGTTTAACTTGGCGAGAAAACACTTGATAAACTTGAAAGTCCTTTTAATATAATATAAATCCAGAAATTCTAAAATTATGTAAGTACTTTTTAAACCTAGAAGTTTTTGAAAATATAAGCACATTGCAAATATTTAGTTAAATATCTCAAACTTAATGTCTTTTTAATTGTTACCTAAATTTTTTTTGGCACCCTTAATTTTATTTACCTTATTTTTACTTAAGGAAAAAGGAATTTAATTTAAATATGGGGTTTTTATTACATTTTTAACAATAAATAAACCAAATATTGAACAAATTTTATAGATAAATTATAAAATAATAAACGTCTTTTACTTTTATAATAAATAATTAATTATTACATAATGAATTAATTTTGGTGCCGAAATTTCACCATTGCTATTAACCCTAACTACTTCAATGTAATTAAATCAGATTACAACATTTGCGCATGGACTATAACAATGATTTCAGATAATTTGCCAAACTATTTTGCTCAGTGTAGAAAATAAGCATGTTTTCTCAGCGTGCTAAGTTGTGTATCAATCAAAGTCATGCTGTGAAAAAGGTACATCCGATATCAAAGGCACCGACAGCTACTGTCGCTTCTCCTTGATCGTTATTCTCGGGTATTACAATGTTAAATAAAATCAATAAAATACTATAGCTTCGTTCGCGGTAACAATCCTAAAAAATGTTCATATGGGACATTCAATATCTTTTTTATTTTTAATTTTATTATTTAAAATATCCCAAACAATATTAAATTAAATAATAAACACTTAATGCAACAACAATACTGGCCTTTCTACTTTCTACCTTGAGCCGACCTTCTTTAAATAAATATATTGCCACGGATGGGATAGTTCAGTTCGTTTATATCAATTCACCTCAGCGAGGTAGAGAAAGGTAATGAGTTGGACTATTGTATTTATTTTTAATATAACATCTGGGAACGGAAGCAAAACTTTTTCCTCTTGTGCTTTTTTCGTAGTTGACTAATTATTTAATACAACTATATTTGGAAATATATTTCTTTTAAATGGGTACTTACATGCTCTTATTAACTCAGTTTGTATTGCCAAATTGTCGTCATCATTTTCTATAGCTACCAATTGTAGACCAGGACGAGCCTCACAGGCTTTTTTTGCAGTATTGGCATCCAGCTGCAAATATAAATATAACGTAAATCCAGGTATATGACACTAGGGTAAAAGCAAAACTTCTTTGGCACTGAAAGTTCTAGATAAATGGTAAGATTAAAATTAAAAAAAAATTGAACGATTTGTGTTTTTTAATGTGAACGTAAAAAATAAACAAGGGCATTATACCTAGAAGCATATCAAATAGAACTTGAACGTGTAGCCACTCCAAATCCTACACTTCCTTGAGAAAGTCATTGAAAAAGTCATTATAGGTATTAGGACATTTTCTTGCTGCATCACCGACAGTAGAGGCCACAATAGATCTTTTAGGTCACATGATATTGCCAAACATTTCAATAAATTAATTAGAGAATTCCGCAATAATAAATGGAAAAATACCCTATCCGAATTAACACCAAATGACAACTCATTGTGGAAAATGGAGAAGCGGTACAAAAAACCGTTTTCGTTACTTCCCACAATGAGACAGAGACCGGACTTACTTACCACGGACAAAGACAAAGGTCAAGCATTCGACAAATACTTACAATCACAAAATTTATCAATCCACAAATAAACAACGAATATCAGAACTGTTACGAGTGGACTATTCAGCTATATTGATATACACCACCACCACCTGAATGAACTCTTTATTGAAGTGAATAGTTATAAAAATGGAAATATAGAAAATTTACACAAACTGACAACTATATTAAAATATTAAAAAACGTCACCAAATGTACAAAACCAAAGACTTTGACAAAACTAAAAGTAGGTCTTGCCTTAAGGTCTAATCAAATAACTCATCAATTTCTAAAACATTAAGTTCCTCTCTTTGTAATTTGTCTTGTATATATGATGGACTTAAATATAGATGGTAGGGACCAACGAGGTGTTTTAGATCATCGATATCTAACCTAGGAAATTCGGGAACATGCATATGGTTTAGCCTATTCCAGCGACCATCTCTGAATGCTAGATTTTGGGCTTCAACGCGTGCTTGGACAATATTTACATCATCCAGTTTATTTAACATTTCAGTTGCTATCTCAACTGTTCCTGGTATATTTATTAGAGGATGATACTTATTTATTAATGCACCTGCAATTTGATAAAAGTCACGTAAGTTGGCAGCATGAGTCGTGGATATCCGTCCATTAAAAAACTTGAAAATAGACTTAAAATGTCCATTTCTAGCTTCTACAACCCAACGCGTTTTGGTTAGAGTCTTGCTCTATTAGCTTCACTAGTAGATAATTGACGTTAGTTGCGAAGAAGCAAAGGTGGCATATAAGAAATGAGACCTAATTCTTCAAATGTAGGAATGGCATCTCTGTAGCCTCTATCTACTATTACTATATCTCCCTCTTCAAACCAGTTTCTCATTTCATTAACGTCATTCTCTAAATCGTGCCGTAAAATTGCTGCATCACTGTTTCGTGCATCAGGAAAATAGGGACCGTTGACTGATAAAATGTATCCATCAGGAGCTACTATAATTTCTGGCTTAACTAAATGTTCCTTCTTAAAAGAGCAATAGGACTGACGTAGGTAATATTTTAAAATTGCTGCTCCTTTCAATGAAGTTATATGTACAGTCTACATAAATTATAGCCTTTGGATCATCTGGTGTAGGGTTATAAAGCTTGTTTACAAATTGAGGTATATGATTTATTATATAATTGTCTCTGGTTATTGATCTGAATCCAATATTGTTAGGCACAAATCTTTGCAGCACGTATTATAAAAAACCACAAATGACATTTATTATAAAAAAATGAAAAACCGTGTATATATTTGCAGTCTAAGAAGTTTAGACGTTTAATAGAAACTATATTTAATTGTTAAATTCTTAATATTGGAACTACCTCGGAATATTTTATATAGGTATATTTATCTAGTATGCTATGATAAAATTATTTCGCAATAAATGTAGGTACATCTATCTATCATTGATTTTTATAATAAATGTCATTTGTGGTTTTTTATATTACGTGCTATTAAATTGTTTAATTTAAAATTGTAGTGTTTCAACTAAATATTGTTGCAAATATGGCATTTGCAAATAGAATAAACTGTTATGTTTGTAATAGAAACTTTCAAGTTCGACTTACGACGCGTTTAAACGAAGACAATAATATAGATTTTCTAAATATGGCTACTTATAGAAGACAAGCTGCCGGCTTTCCTGCTGTCGAAAATCTAGAAGAAGTCAGGTCATGTTTAAATTGTTTTCATGGAATTGCAGAGGACCTAAGACATATTGAAAACAATCCAAATTGCCTTAGACTTAACGTTTTAACACCCCATTCAGTACGTGGTTGCATAGTATGCAATGTGCAAGGTAATGTAAGAAAAATATCGGCAAAATGTAGAGCAAATATTTTTCTAGTATCTAATATTTATGTACCTGAACATTTGAAAATATGTGAAATTCATTTAGATCATTCAGGTATCCTAATGCTTAATTTACATGGTGGCTTGCTTTTGTTAATAGGCCTTATATTCTAAATAATATTCAGTCATTTTTGTCCAGTTTAAGAACTGCTGCTAATTCAAATATTCATGTAACAAATTGGGAAGATATAGGTACTTTTAGTTTAGAGGAATTTAAATATTTAACGTCAATTTCTAAAGAAAATTTTCAAGAACTGTATGAGTTGTGTGAACTAATTGATCAATATGGTAACAGGCGAAATATTGGACAAAAAGATTTACTTGCTTTTCTTGTTAAGCTAAGGCATGGATTTTCAGATGAATTTATAAAATTACTTTTTAATTACTCTTCGAGACAAGTCACTAGTTTAATAATGTCTAATGTCCATCTGTCTTTGCTGCAAAGATGTGTGCCTAACAATATTGGATTCAGATCAATAACCAGAGACAATTATATAATAAATCATATACCTCAATTTGTAAACAAGCTTTATAACCCTACACCAGATGATCCAAAGGCTATAATTTATGTAGACTGTACATATAACTCCATTGAAAGGGGCAGCAATTTTAGAATATTACGTTAGTCCTATTGCTCTTTTAAGAAGGAACATTTAGTTAAGCCAGAAATTATAGTAGCTCCTGATGGATACATTTTATCAGTCAACGGTCCCTATTTTCCTGATGCACGAAACAATGAAGCAGCAATTTTACGGCACGATTTAGAGAATGACGTTAATGAAATGAGAAACTGGTTTGAAGAGGGAGATATAGTAATATTAGATAGAGGCTACAGATATGCCATTCCTACATTTGAAGAATTAGGTCTCATTTCTTATATGCCACCTTTGCTTCGTCGCAACCAACGTCAATTATCTACTAGTGAAGCTAGAAATGGACATTTTAAGTCTATTTTCAAGTTTTTTAATGGACGGATATCCACGACTCATGCTGCCAACTTACGTGACTTTTATCAAATTACAGGTGCATTAATAAACTCTAATAAATATACCAGGAACAGTTGAGATAGCAACTGAAATGTTAAATAAACTGGATGATGTAAATATTGTCCAAGCACGGGTTGAAGCCCAAAATCTAGCATTCAGAGATGGTCGCTGGAATAGGCTAAACCATATGCATGTTCCCGAATTTTTTTCGGTTAGATATCGATGATCTAAAACACCTCGTTGGTCCCTACCATCTATATTTAAGTCCATTATATATACAAGACAAATTACAAAGAGAAGAACTTAATGTTTTAGAAATTGATGAGTTAAGAGAAGAACCTATTTTCTTACGTTTTAGAATCTACTCTAGATTTAGAAATGCCACTAAATATATGTTGTGGTTGGCATACGAGGAGCCACTTAATCAAGATAATCCTCCAGTTTTTTACCATTACTGCACATGTCCATCCGGTACGAGAACTTTAAGTACTTGCGCACATATTGCAACATTTTTATGGTTTTTGGATATGCTAGACACCACAATAATATTAAATTTCCACAAACACGTCTTCTTAATTGTGTAGACGATGCAGTGCACCGATTGCTACCAGAAAATATCGATCTCGGTCCCATAATAGAAGAGAATAATTAAACTGCAACGATCATTAAACATTCTACTTTTAATAACTTAATGTACCTGTAATTTGGACTTCTCAATTTTAATACCTTAATTTACTCTTTATTTGGACACCTTCATTAATTTAATATATGCTTGTTATTGTCGCACATAATGACCTTATAAAGTACCTACAGTTTTTGTCCATAACTTCAACAATGGCAATGAACATAATATAATGATTCTACAAAACTATCAGTGGAATAGGCCTAAAGGGGATACCACTTAAAACAAAACGCGCCCATGGCTCTACCTCACGGGTGGTGTGGAAACGAGCTTAAAATCTGAAATATCGGTTCAATAAAAAACTAAAATATGTAAATGCTCTACAGTTTTCTAGTAAGTCCGTTCTGCATCTATCGTAATATTGAACGACCCTGTATGAGGTTTTGTGCATCATACGTAAAACCTCCAAAACCTAATTTAAAAACGATTTATTAAAAAAAATAGCTAACCAATTTCTATTGTTTGGCAGCTTTCATTTTGATTTGTTCATTTTGACCTTTTACAAGCTCAAGTGAGATCACCCTGTAAGTATGATTCTTTTATTTTGTCTCCAAATAATGCAAAGGTACAATATAATCCAACACAGTGTGTAAAAATATTTAGTTTACGGTATTTCTCTTATTTCGTGATTATTATTTATTACTAAAAGTTGATATTTTATAGACTAAACGTTTAATTTTTTCGAAAACTAGCCATAGGATCTAATTTTACCAATAAGAATTTTGAACGAGGACATCGAGATCTACACTATATCTAATATTGAGAAATATTGACGGTGATTTTTTTTAATGACATTTCATGCTATTTTTGTATTATAAAAATACATACTTTTTCCAAAACAGGTCTGTGAAAGCATGAATCACCCTGTAAGAATCACTATTTTAATTTTGTTTATTAGCTATGTATATTCTCTACATATATCAGTCAGTAACTTCCAAAAATATTTAAAAGGGGGTTTTTGGTGTCCATTTTAAAGAAGTCGGGATTTTCAACTTCAACGCCCTGTATGTCAAAATCTAGCCATATGATAGGATTGGGTCCATGGAGACTTTTAATCAGGACATCAAGGACTATAACATATAAAAAATTCAGACAATTTGACGGTGCTCCCGTTTGCATAAGAAAAGTGCGGGGTCCTTTACAATAAAAACCGAAAAGCGGTAGGTGAAATTTTATTTAATATTATTTTTTACCAAAAATCAATGTCAAGCTTTGTACATAACCTGGTATATATTTAAAAATAATCTCAAAATATGAAGAAAAGTCAGCTGACTATAACTAATAATGTTTATAAATCATTTTCAACGTATCAAAAACAAATATTACAATAACTAAAATATTCATTAATAATTGTAGTGCTTGCAAAGAGTGTGATATTTATAATAATAACTACACTTAATATAAACCCAAATTGAAAAAACAGAGATATTCGCGCTCGTACCGGAAGTTATAAACGATAAAATTGTTGGAAAAACACCCTTTTTAAATTATAACAAGCCGCCACTGCTCATAATTGTAAAAATATACTTACTTTTTGAGGATTTACAAAATATAATTTCTTGCCTACTTTAAATGGCCTAAGTTGAGTGTCTGCAAAAAGAAAATAGTAAAATATTTTCAAATATCAGTTATTTAGATAACTTACCATTTTCCTCAAAAGCTACAGTTATTGTAAGACAAATACAAAGACACAAGGTTGCTAAGAGGGAATGCATGTTGATTTATAAAATTTTAAATTATTAATCGGATTAGTTACCAATGTATATATAGGCACTTAACTATCAATTAATGTTTTCATTATCAAACAAGAAATCTTTAAAACGTTCTTGAAATTAATTTTTTTAGATAATAATACAATATGTGCTTCGTAATTTTAGATACATTTTTAGTAATCAATAATAGCCACTCCATTTGTATTAATATAAATCTGATTTGAAAGATAAGACACAATATAAGCAAGTGTTGTGCATTTCAAATGTTATCTTGGATCTGTTTGGAAAAAAAATGTTATCGCTAAATGAAAGAACAAAATTCAACGTCCAATTTTGGCCAAAAATAAGATTGTAGTGCTCGGTTTCCTATTATCAAATCGAATCGAATCAAATTTTTTCATTTATACAATTAAAATTTTTTTAACAAAATTTTAAAATTCACTTAAACCAAGTTTGTGTGAGGAATTTGTAATATATTTTTGTTTTTATTTTAAATCCTTGCCCCACTTCTCGCTGATATCCATTTATCTCAAATAACTCCAATAAAGTCCTATATCTCCTATGCCGCCATGGGAAAAATTTTTACCACTTTTTATTACCACTCTAGCTCATGACCCTAAAAACGAAACTCCAAGTAACTTTCAAAAACAAGCTTTTTTAGAATTAATAAATTTTTCCCAATTCGACACAATCCTATATACAGATAATTCTAAAAGAAAAGACTATGGGGTCTATTCTGTAATAATTTCTGTTTTTTAAACTCTTGAGAGACCTTGAAATCGATCTCTCAGTTTCTTCTGATATCCCAGTGTATGACCATCTCATACCTGTCAAAAAGGCCAAGTATCAGGATGTAATGCAATTGGCAACACGATTCGTTCCAATGGACCAAATGGCTTTCTACAACTGCCTCAGAAGTGAAGCTGTAGCAGAGAACCAGGGACCCGAAACATCTGGAACGGAGGATGATGACCAGGTAGAAGTGTAGGTTCGCGTGAGTTTATTATTTCGATTTTTTTCGAATGTTGATTTTTTTTATATACCAACCTGCGTATTTTTATTGTTTTTTATATTTTTTTGTATTTGGTGACCTATATTCTTTTGACTTTTCTTACTTAATAAAGGCTTTTCACTAGGTATTTTGTTTTTTTGCCAAAGACTGTAGTAAGTACGCATTTTTTCAAGTGTTTGGTGGAAGAAAGATGCAGCTCCAGCTTTTGTTTCTAATTTTTTCTAATTTCTCCAAAAATTATAAGGTTTAAAATAGTTTCAAATATTGACTAAACCTCGATATTATTGATTGGCACTTCGTTTTTCAGTTTAAAATAAAAACTTTAAAAGAAAAACAGTTTTTTTCAATTTCCCAACAATTACTAAAAATGGAGCTGCATCCTTCTTGCAGCAAACTCCTCAATTCCTTTATATTTAACGGCCTTTAAAAATATTTTCTTCTTTACTTCTGTCATTATTTAAACGGATCTTTAAAATACATTAGAGGACTATCTTAAAGAAATCTTTTTAAATAATGACAGAAGTAAATTAACGAATACGAACATATTTTTAAGGAGGTCCTTTCGCCACACCTCTCGCCTTGAATGTTAAAAAAAAAGTTATTAGATTATGACTAAAATTAATTTTTTTCTAATAGTTGAAGTCCTTATTTATCTAATACTGAACTTTTAACTGTACCTTACTTTGCAAATTTTTGAGAATTTTTTTTAAATGTGAGTATTTGTACAGTGCCTCACGAGAAAGTAAGTCCTCAACAACAATTCCCGAATTATACTATTATTTATTGATTAGATGGAGTAGAAAAAAACTAAAAATAAGGTTTTTGGAATATTTAGATTTTGTTTTATACAATAAAATATATATAGTAACCTAGTTGAAAATTTTTTGTGATTTTGTAATAATAATTTCTCAATAAATTCCACGGTAACCTATATATTTTATTGTAAAAAACAAAACCTAAATATTTCAAAAACCTTATTTTTAGTTTTTTTCTACTCCATCTAATCAATAAATAATAGTAAAATTAATTATAATTCGAAAATTGTTGTTGAAGTCTTACTTTCTCATAAGACACTGTACAAATACACACATTTAAAAAAAAAAAATTCTCATAAATTTGCACGGTAAAAACTTTTTATTACTTGTGTAAACTTTGTTCATTTTACAATTTATTTCACCCAACATTTGATGAAACTTGTTTTGTAGTATTCCCTAGTGGATGGAGAGTATGGTGAGTTTTCTCTTTTTTACTATTTTATATATCGTTTGCTCTAAGTGTTAACACACCTTACACCACATATTCTCCTTTCCACTAGGCGAGCCTGAAGATGAAGTGATGACACTTCGAAACCGGTCGCACTCAATGTTTTGTTAAATAATTAAACATTGACTTTCCTTGTGAGATATAAAGGACTTTTTCTCCTCCCCCTTCACCTTAAAATTACCTCAACTCACACATGGCTACCCCCCCCTTGTCAATATAAATGCTATTACAATTAGATATTATGAATTTATTACGAACAGGACCTGCTAAACACATGTTAAAACATCCAAATATCTTTGCTTAATTTTAAATTTAACATATTTAACTAAAACTAAAATTAAATAAAAGTAAAAGTACTTACCACGTTTTATTCAGCAACCATAACCATATTGTTTTGTTCAGTTTTGTTATTGTATCGGTTCGAACGGGTGACAATCCCAAAGTTAGATTTACATTGTACAAATAATTGATTAATTCATGTTTTTCAAATAATTGTAGTATTTATATAAATATATAATTTTAAAACAATACTTACCGTGTATTACTTTTGTTATTAAGCGAAATATATTTGAATTATTCAGTTATTCAGTGTACTTTAAGTTTAAATATCATTTTATTATTGTAAAACGGACTGATATGCGCGGATGTGTTGCGCACTAACCTGTTGATATAACGCGCATATGTTATAAGTTATAAGCCCCCCTGGGTATACCCAATGAACTGAAGTGGGGTAGAAAGCCAATGTGCATATTATATCAATAAAACAAGATGCGACTCTATGGGCGTAGCCATTTTTATTTCTCATCTCACTCGGGAGTATTTATAATAACCATTTTCTGTTTCACAGTGTTATTGTTCAATCCACAAGCTGGTGGATCAGACAATAACAAAGTGAAATAGAAAATGGTTGTTATAAATACTCCCGAATGAGATGAAAAATAACCTGTCTTCGCCCATAGAGTCGCATCTCAAGCCTCTTGACAAGCATTCTACCCCACTCCAGTTCATTGGGTATACCCAGACTTTTGTGGAGCCATAACAGTGATTTGGATACCATCACATGTGGGTATACCAGGCAACGAGGCATCCGACCGTGCAGCTAAGGAGGCCTCTTCATCAAATTTAGCAATGGAAAACATTCAACTACATAAAGACATCCAAAACTTTTTCAAAAATAATACAGGGTGTCTCAAATAAGAGTGATCGATTTTAAATGTAAATGCACAACTTATTAATTGCTCTAAAGATATGGAGTTTTCACTAATTAATTTCGTTTATTCAAAAGTTTTTTTTCAAGTTTGTTCACATTTTATCACATCAATACAGGGTGATCCATTAATGTTGGTCAACTTGAATGAAAAAATATATATTATTTTAAATGGAACACCCTGTATATTTTGATGGCATTCAAAAGAGAGATTCATCTACTTTTTAAAAATGTATAGTTTGATATCTTTTGTTTTCTTAACAACACAGATATTCGAGTTTTCAAGTAACACTGCTGTTTTCTTTATTTACAAACTGACATTAAATAAAATTATCTGCTATTTACGTAGGTAGTATCGAATAGTATTACTATGATATAGACAATAATAATAATAGTAAGGTGGGCAGAACGCTTATCTTGGAATTAGATTTACGAAATTTAAGACCACATTTAAGCCTTCATCCAAGACTTTAATAGCCGGCCTAGCCGGATGTCCCCTTTTTAGTCTATTTGTCCCGCCCTTTTACTATGCGTGATGATGGTCATTGACCGAAACTGGTCGCTTTCTCTGTTTTCAAAACAATAAATAATGTTTGTGGCTAGGACTTAAGAGTTTTTCCTTTCCTTTAAACAATAAACGTTAATTCGTAAAGACTTAATATGCTTCACGTTTTCATTTTTATATTGCCTTCCATAAAAAATCAAATTATGGGTGAATTGTCCCGAAGGACATTGCCTGCAAGAGGAATATAAGAAGAATAAGAAAAAGAACTAATCAAATTATACGTTAGGTATGTCAAATTATCCCGCAATAATTTGCCCAAATCGGTCAGCTGTGTTGCACTTCCAGTTTCCTTGGTGGAACGGATTTTTAGTATGTCAAATATAGCCTCTAACCTATCCAGTAAAATAATATAGATCAGTGCCACCGACGAATTAGAATGCTATGTTGTAATAAGACAGCCCTTTTTTAATTGAAGACAATAAACAAATCATTTCTTGTCTATTCCTAATTCAGACAAGTTCATGCGGCACCCCACTTGCTGTTTCATATGGTATTGTAACACAGGTTTTTGGTATCGCAATTTATTTCAACTCAACTTTCACAACAATTATACAACTGATAACATTAACATGTAACGTCTATCATAAAACTAAAACTCTGACGTCAGGTCGTCGACTTATATAGCTTGCTTGACCTTCTCAAACTGTCGTCTGGAATATTCTTGACAGGTAATGACATTTCTGGAATATTCTATCTTCTTTTACTTGTACTTTTACTTATGACGACTGCAGTACACTGTAGAGTGATGAGTAACATTCCACTTCTTTTTCTATATGTACGTTTCCTATGATAGCTGCAGGCTACTGCAGGGTGCTGCGTAACAGTATATATGCGATGCGCGGTTATTTTAGGTAGTGTAAATACACCCGCGTTCCTTATTTAATAATAATTATTAAATAATTATTTTTTCGTAATTATCTATTTTCTTTACAACTATATAGATGAGAAACAAGTATTTTAACTTTCTTGTAAAAACAGTGAAAAGAAATGTTTTTACAAAAGAAAGGCGGCATGCTATTTGTGGCGACATCATAGCACCACATAGTCTTACCTTTAGTTTTGACTTTTACGTCAATTTATTTTAAGGTTTCTTAGTCAGTTTTTATTTGAGGTTGGTCAAGTGTCAATGTCAGAGTTCAAGTACTTAGAAAGTCAATTTTATATCCATAAAATCCATTCTGAGAAAAGTTAATTTCATTTGGCGATCGCACATTTACCAGCCGAAATTTTCGCTAAGATTTATGATATAATCTCTGATCCCCCAGAGAATAATGCCTTTTCTACCTTAAAAGAATCAGTTATAAATAGACTTTCTCTCTCTGAAGAACAACGGTTAGATAAATTACTATCCAGAGCTGAAATGGGCGATAAAAAACCTTCAGATTTTTATAGAGAATTAATTAGATTTTCAGGTGATTCTATAATTCATGAAAATTTATTATTAAAAATATGGAGAAGAAGACTCCCAAAATTTATAGATATTTCTTTAACTGTATCTGGAAAATCTTCTACTAAAGAGTTATTAGAAATTGCCGATAAAATTTGGGAATCGTCCCATTCCTCTAATTTTTCTAATTATACTGGTAACAAAGACGAGGTTTTTTCTATTAATAAAAATACCGAAATTCTAAATCTTTCCAAATCAATAAATGATTTAAATCAAAATTTTAAATTAATGATGGGTGATTTAATTAATAAACAAAATGAATTAGAAAAAAAGATTATTATATTGGAAAATAAGGGATCCTCTCACACATCACGTGATGATTCCAATCAAAAATGCTACTGTAGATCTTCTTCAAGATCTAGAAGCAGAAATAGATATTTTCGTAAATTCAATAAAGAAAATGAATCGAATGATCCATTATGTTTTTATCACAGTAAATATAAGAAGAACGCATATAAATGTGCAGGACCTTCTTGCTTAATGTACGAAACTTTCAAAAATTCTATTTCAAAAAACGAGTAAAATCAACATTAGGTAGTATAGGTGGAAAATCTTCAAAAAGATTATTTATTTTTGATAAATTAAATAATTTAGAATTCTTGGTTGACTCAGGAGCTGATATTAGCGTGGTTCCAAACAAAATTTTCAAAGGATTAATAGATAAAGAGTTTATTCTCACTTCAGCTTCTGGCAATACAATATCTACTTATGGAAAAAAATTTCTTAATATCGATATTGGATTGCGAAGAGTATTTCCTTTTCTTTTCACCATTGCAAATGTAACTAAACCAATTTTAGGTGCAGATTTCTTAACTCATTTTGGCCTAATTTTGGATTTCAAAAATTCTAAAATACGCGATAGTGAAACTTCATTAGATTCTATTGGAAAAATTTTTAATTTTAAATCTAAAGACAATTCACCTAAACTATTTAATGTTGAATCTAAATATACGGAACTTTTTAAAAAATATCCTGGAATTTTTTCATCTCCAAATTTTAATTTATCTGCAAAACAACGTTAAACATCATATTATAACAGAAGCAAACTTACCTTTTTGTAAACCTAGACGTTTAGATCCTAAAAAATATAAAATTGCTAAACAAGAATTCGATCAAATGATTGAATTAGGCATTTGCCGACCTTCATCTTCTTATGTCATTTCTGTTTTACACATGGTCCAAAAAAAAGACTCAAAAGATTGGAGACCTTGTGGAGATTACAGATTTTTAAATAAAGTAACAGTACCTGACAGATTTCCTTTAGGTTTAATTTCTGACGTTAATGTTAAATGTCATGGTTGTAAAATTTTCTCAAAAATCGATTTGGTTAGGGCCTATCACCAGATTCCGATGGCTGAAGAAGATATTTTTAAAACAGCAATCACCACTCCTTTTGGATCTTTTGAATTTCTCAGAATGCCTTTTGGATTGCGAAATGCTGGCAATACCTTTCAAAGATTCATTACCGAAGTTACTAGAGGCTTATATTTTATTTTCGTCTATTTAGACGACATTTTAGTCGCTAGCAAAAATTTAATTGATCATTTTAAACATTTGGATATTTTATTTGAAAGATTACACTCTTTTGACGTTAACGTTAAACCAAGTAAATGCATTTTTGGAGTTGAAAAAATTTATTTCTTAGGTTTTACTATTTCAGCGGAAGGATTATTTCCTTCAGACGAAAAAATAGAATGTATTAAAAGTTTTCCTAAGCCGAGTACTCTCAAACAATTACAACGTTTTGTTGGTATGATAAATTTTTATCACAAATTCGTTCCAAAATTCGCCCAAATTTTAGCACCTTTGCACGATTTTATAACATTTTTAGACTAAAATAAAGTTAAAATTATAAAAGATTGGCCATTCGATTATGAAAAGAGTTTTAATGAAGTAAAAGAAGCACTTATTAAAGCATCTTTTCTGGCACATCCTTCAGAGGAATCCATTCTATCACTTACAACAGATGCTAGTAATTCCTGTGTAGGTGGTGTTCTTGAACAAGAAGTTGATGGTGTTAGACAACCCATCGCTTTTTTCTCAAAAAAATTAACCAAATCGCAATTAAACTATAGTGTTTTCGATAAAGAATTATATGCAATCTACCTTTCAATCAAACATTTTAGATATATGTTAGAATCAAAAGATTTTAAAGTTTTTTGTGATCATAAACCAATTGAAAAAGCAATTTTCTCCAAAACAGATAGATTTCCTAGACAATTCAGATATATAGAATATATTTTACAAATTACTAATAAAGTTTTTTACGTAGGTAGCAAAAACGTAATAGTCGCAGATTTCTTAAGTAGAATGGAATTAGATTTTATTTTAGTAGAAAAAATAGAATCGGAATTAGATTTAAAAATAATAGGAGACGAACAAAAATTAGATTTAGAATTAAAAGGTTTATTACAGTCACAAAATCAAAATATTAATAAAAACAAATTTCATTTACAAAAAGTTCAAGTTAATTTCCCACCAGCAGATATATGGTGTGAAAATACTAATAATACTTTAAAACCTTACATTCCCAAGTCACAACGTTATAATATTTTTATTAAGGTACATAATGTGGCGCACACAAGAGGTAAGAGCACTTTAAAATTGATAAAAAATATATATTTTTGGCCAAGAATAAGCAAAGATATACACTTATGGTCAAAATCTTGCATAGATTGTCAAAAGGCAAAAATTTCTAAATATACAAAATCACCAACAGGTGAATTTTCAATCCCAAAAGGTAGGTTCCAACACATCCATATAGATATTGTTGGACCCCTTAAACCTTCAGGAGGTTGCTCATACCTATTAACACCTATAGACAGATATACGAGATGGGTAGAAGTTTATCCTTTAGCAACAATTACTACAGAAGTAATTATAAAAACATTAATAATTATATAGCTCGTTTTGGTGTACCTTATAGCGTCACACACGACCAAGGTAGCCAATTCGAGTCACATTTATTTAAAGAATTTAGCCGAAAACTAGGTTTTAAAAATTTACACACTACTAGTTATCATCCAGAATCAAACGGAATGATAGAACGATTCCATAGAACATTAAAAACATCTCTTATGGCCAAACTGCATAACAATAATTGGAAAGATGAACTACCATTGATTTTATTAGGTTTGAGAAGTGCAGTAAAGGAAGATTTGAATTGTTCTTCCGCTGAACTAGTCTATGGACAATCCTTAAGATTACCAGGAGATTTTTTGTAGACAGTAGTGAAAGTTTTGATACTGATTCATTCTTAATTAAATTACAAGAACATTTCGATAATATAAAACCCACTAAAATATATAGACACGGTACAAAGAAATTTTTCATTTCACCAGATTTGATGGAAAATGATTTCGTTTTTGTTAAAGTTCAAGGTATCAAACCTTCATTAATTCTTCCTTTTGAAGGACCGTACAAAGTCATTAGTAGAAATGATAAAGTTTTTAAGATTTTAATTAATGGCAAAGAATCATTAATTAACATAGATAGGTTGAAGCCAGCCTTTTTATTAACAGAACAAGATGTTCAAAATGTTTTTTCAAAACCGAAGAAAAAGGTTTCTTTTGTTTTAAACCCAATAAGTTATAACTAAACCATTATTTTTATATGGGTGGTTTCTTTTTCTTTTTTTGAGCGGGGAGGTTATGTGGCGACATCATAGCACCACATAGTCTTACGTTTAGTTTTGACTTTTACGTCAATTTATTTTAAGGTTTCTTAGTCAGTTTTTATTTGAGGTTGGTCAAGTGTCAATGTCAGATGGTACCATTATAATAACCCAATGACATATGTCATTGTAATAACCACATATATTCTTAGATAATATTAATGATCTTGGTCGATAGCTGCGTACACTAGCACCCTACTTATCCGATGGATAGTAACCATGGAAAAAGAAAACAAAAAGATTGATTGATTACTGATTCGAAATACAAGACGTACCTTTGACACAACATTTTTTATATAACGCTTTTTTATAATTTAAAATAAAATTATTTTACTCAGATCCTGATATTCTGCGTATCGATTTCCTGCTATCTACACTATTATTAGTAATACTTTAATTGTAATATTTATAATGTTTTGTGACATTCTGACAGTGCAAATGCTGCCCCTAAAAAATGCCGTCCCGGACAAATGTCCGGGTTGTCCGGCCTTGCAGCTAGCTCTGCTCCTCTTCATACTAACTCGATGCTACAATCTCATTTTCGGCCGAAGTTAAACACTGATCTTTGTTCTCTGTAACCCTTCATATTATAATAAGATTTAAAGTTTATTGATTTATTGACAACATGACAGGCAAATTCTCAAAATGCACTGAAATTGGATCTTATCTCTGATATAAAGAGTAATTATTAATAAACCATTCTTAATCTTGCAACATATATAATTTATAAGTACATAATAAACTAAAAAAAATATTTCTCAACAACATATACAATTGTTTGTTCGATAACGAAAAAAGTAATTGAAAATAAAGGTACATATACCGATGAATAAACTAAAATTTTATTTATCAAAATGCATTCTTTCTTAGCAATCTCGTGCGTTTTTATTTGTTTTACAACAACTATTGCATTTGTAAAACATGGTAAGTTAATTATATTAGGTACTGATGTTTGAAAATATTGAATATACTATTTTATTTTTGCAGACACAAAACTTTGGTCCCACACATTTAAACTAGGCGAAAAATCGTATTTTATAGAAACCGAAAAAGTAAGTATAATTGTAGTAAATAATTATAGTAAAATTAGTAAGCTTTGTAGTTTTGGTAAAACATTAAAAATGAAAGGAAAATATAAAAATTCCACTTACGAAAATAACACCCTCGTTTCCAAAGTGGAACCAAACTAAATCCCGGTTCTCTCAATTCTTAAAACCACCCGTATGACATCGTCTAGACAGCCATACTCAACCTGCGGCCCTCCAAGATTTTCTATGCAGCCCCAAACACTATTATTAGGAAGGTGCTTTTAAAACTATTCCTTTTTTTTTATTTTGAGCGAAATGCGCGAAAACATTAACATTAAGGTGATTACAGCACCCCCTTATAATTTTCAGACAAGGATATCTCAAAAAGTAATTTTTTTAAAGAATTTAAGGAGGTCCTTTCGCCACCCCTTTCGCCACCAATGTTAAATAAAAAATATTAGATTATGACTAAAATTTATTTATCTAATGTTGAACTTTTAACTATACCTTACCGTGCAAATTTTTGAGAATTTTTTTTTTTAAATGTGAGTATTTGTACAGTGTCTTACGAGAAAATAAGACCTCAACAACAATTCTCGAATTATATTATTATTTATTGATTAGATGGAGTAGAAAAAACTAAAAATAGGGTTTTTGAAATATTTAGGTTTTGTTTTTTACAATAAAATATATAGGTTACCTTGGAATTTATTGAGAAATTAATATTAAAAAAAAATTTGAAGTAACCTAGTTGAAAATTTTTTGTGATTTTTTAATATTAATTTCTCAATAAATTCCACGGTAACCTATATATTTTATTGTAAAAAACACAACCTAAATATTTCAAAAACCTTATTTTTATTTTTTTCTACTCCATCTAATCAATAAATAATAGTAAAATTAATTATAATTCGAAAATTGTTGTTGAAGTCTTACTTTCTCGTAAGACACTGTACAAACACACACATTTAAAAAAAAAATTCTCAAAAATTTGCACGGTAAGGTATAGTTAAAACTTCACTATTAGATAAATAAGGACTTCTACTATTAGAAAAAAATTGATATTAGTCATAATCTAATATTTTTTATTTAACATTGGTGGCGAAAGGACCTTCTTAAATTTTGGCAAAATAAATTAGGCAATAATATCTAAAATACTCATATTTTTTAAAGTTTTAATTTCTTCCAGTTTCCGAGAAAAAAAATCAAAGGGCTTTAAATTTTGAAAAATATAATAAAAATAAATGCATTCCTCAACAGCACTATTATTAATATAATCCCGCAATTTGATCTCTTAATGTCTTGTTAATGATTTTTTAAAATTCGCCAAAATTAGTGGCTAAAACGCCTCGTTAAGTGCTGCCTTCTGTTATAACGCGACTGTAACTATCAAACCGTACATTCTCTGTCATCATTCGTTTCCTGAAATGATTTACACCACTTTACATCAGTTTACACAAGAAGATAAGCACTTAACGAGGCGTTTTGGCCTCTAATTTTGGCGAATTTTAAAAAATCATTAACAAAACATTAAGAACTTAAATTCGTGAATTATATTAAGAATAGTGCTGTTGAGGAATGCATTTTTTTTTTTCGGAAACTGGAAGAAATTAAAACTTTAAAAAATATGCATATTCTAGATATTATTGCCTAATTTATTTTGCCAAAATAAATTTTTTAAAAAAATTACTTTTTGAGATATCCCTGTCCGAAAATTATAAATTATAAGGGGGTGCTGTAATCACCTTAAGCGATAAATATCATGCTATCATGTATTGTTTTGCATTTATGTCTTGTGTATTTTGTATTAGAGATCCCAACTAATTTTAAATGGTTGACTTACAATCCTTTTTTGAAACAAATTGTTCTTACGACTTTTCAAAACAACATGAAGACTATTTTTTTATTTTTAGAAAATACTTAATACGTCATTTACATTAAAAAAGATGGCTACTCGCGGCCCGTGTAGCATAACAAACAGATTTATGTAGCCCCAAAGGAAAGAAGGTTGAGTACAGCTAGTCTAGAAAGACGATAATCTATATGATTGTACTGAAAGAAATTTGTATGATCCTTCATTCGTTCACCAGTGGCTGTTCTACCGTATTCCGTTCGGTTGAAGTTGAGAGGTACCTCATCCATTTTATAGAATATCTCTGTACGCAACCCTCTCTTTGTTTATGTAGACCATTGTACGTGCAATAATTCTATCTTTCTCCGTTCAGCCTAATGGGACGTATATCTTTCTCGATATTCATATCCACCTGAAACGCAGGCTGGCCAAATTTGTCGGTATATTGTACCTATTGTGTTGATAATAATTTCATTGCACGACAATATTTTTATTTAATTCTTCGACGACAGATTCGAAAGTTTCCTTTCTTCATCTAGTGGAATAATTTTTTAAATAAATGATTAACTACATTTAAATTGATTTTATTTATATTCTAAGGTGAAATAGTAAAGGATTTTTATACATATAATTATTGATCGTATTTTTTGTAAATAAACATTATTGTTGTTATTACTAATATGATAATATACAATTAGTATCCTCGCGAAATCTATGGATGGCTTTATTTATGGTATATTTAAAGTAAGAAACTGATTTTTGGAAAGTATTTTAATATACAGTGGTAAATAATATGAAATATTTGTTTTTTTTTTTTAAATAATCGGATCAATCTCACAATTAATTTGTAGTGTATACGAACACTATTTTATCGTACGCATGTATATTTTATTGTACATAATATACCAGGTGTTCTAAATTAAAGCGTTTCAGCTATATACCGCTTTTTATAAAAAAAAACGTTTCAGACGAAAGTTTCATAGTTTTGTAGGGAAAAACTTTTGGCTAAAATCGTTTTTTATAACTAACCATAATATGGTCAACTTTTTTTTCGCGCAGCAACATTTTCAAGTAACTGTTAGTCAAAAAGTAAAAGTCCAATAAAAAAAATATTTTCCTTAAAAGTTTCTTATTTTTTTATGTACTTTAAGAATATGTAAGAAAAAATGGGATTCCCATTTAAAAAAACAAAGTTCACCTCGATATGGCCATGTTATGGTCAGCTATAAAAAAATGAATTTAGTCAAAATGTTTCCCCCAAAAAACTATAAAACTTTTGTCTGAAACTTTTTTTTCTAAAATGCATATTTTCGACGGTATTTAACTGTAACACTTTAATTTGAACACCCGGTATATGCTATTTTTAATTTCATAAAAAAATATAATGTCTTTGTTTTATCTTTTTTTCGTTCATTGAAAGTAAAAATATGTCAAAATAAATTAAATACTTAAATAAAAACAAACTTTAATTATCTACTATTTTTAATGAAACATTATGTTTCACATAACGAAATGCAATCACAAAAAATATAAAGTACATCAATTGCTTCTTACAATTTCTTTTATTAAATATTTTTAAATAAAAATCAACTAACTGTGGTTCAGCACATAACCAAAAATTTTCATCTCTCTCAATTTTTTCAAAGCTTTGTCCATATTTTTTGTACATCGAGCGCCCCACGCTTTTTTCACAATAATACTAGTATTTTCCATTTATTATTGTTTTAAGCTTATTTTAAAAATTATTTTTAGTTTGATATGCTCTAAAAGCGTGTTTTTTAGTTTTTTTAAACTATATTTTTTTATTTAATTTGGCAATCTATATTGGCTAAATATTGAAATTTTTTTTATTCAATTCCCATTTCTGGTGTGAGTTTGGGACAAGAATATGGACAATTAATTACAATTATTTCATTATTATAATAATATAATAATGTCTCTGGACTTGCTCCCAAGTAAGGATGTTTTTCATAAATAAATAATTCACATTCTTATACCGTTTTTCCATATTTATTTTTAATTTGTTCTATCGCAATAGATTCATTATTTTGTCCCCATTTTGTAGCTACTGATCCGTAAAAAGATGAAAATAATATGTTATTAACAGTCTTTTTTGCGTAATTTGCAAACGGTTCCTAAATTTGAAGTCTAGCGCATATTACTACGATGTTCTTTCCACAGATTATTACTGGCCTAACCTCTATTAGATACTTCAATTTTACAAATATTATCTATTGATTTTGGTAAACTATCAAAAAATTGCATTTTTTTTTTGTCCAAAACATCGTCATCATCATCGCATTAAACTCCTTAGTCCCTATCTTTAGGTGCACCAATTTTGCGTTTTTTTAACTACATCTACGTTTCCTCATTTGAGTAACCAATCTTTGTGTGTGAATCCCAGGAACACTTTTTGACAGCTTTTTATAAAGAGTTGGAATATAGTTCTTTTTTATTAAAAGAAATGGCTGCAGCTGTAAACCGAACATTATATCCTCCGCAAAATTAATTCTCTTTCCTCTAACTTTGGCTAGGATTGAATTAAATGTCTCTGCAAATATTATTAGTCATGTTTAATAAATTGTGGCTATTTTGAACCAGCTTATTACCAGCAAATACAATGTCATCCATTTTTCCGTATTTTTCCATTTCTGTCACATAATCTCTATCGTTTTGTTCCCTTTAACAAAAATATTGTGCACAGTTTGAATGATTTCCAAATGTGTGGTAAGGATAGTTTTTAATGTTGTCAAGAATATCACTGGTATTTTTCTGTGGTAATTTACAGCTGATTTAATTCCTACTCGTAACTTCAAAATCCTATCACTCAATTTTTTTTTTTAGTCCTGGACTTACTATTGTTTTTTGAACTGTATTTTTTTCGCAAGATCACACAAATTTGTGTGACAATTCCTGGGAAGATGGTTTATGCATTTTACTTTGCGAACCATTATTCTTCCGTAGGGTCTCTTAAGCAAATTTTAAGCTATTGCATAGCTTTTATCGCGGGCTTTGAGTGGCGACCGAATTAAGAAATTTCGTAACACCGTAACGAAAAAACCTAACACCCTCCACTCCGACCGGCACAGCGGTACGGCGTTATAGCCATGGAAGGTTTTATCTGACCCTATTCGTATTAGTATGAAGCGGAGTTAAATATACGTCTGCGGAC